TTTGCTCTGTCCCCATCAAGTCTACAGGTGAGTCTTGATAACATAAGAGTGTAGATACCATTGGCTACCGGCATGAAGGAGCTAAGACCTGGAGAAGCCAGGGCATCTAAATGCCTTCCTTAAATGCCTCTCTGCCTTCCTCTAATCAAGTTCTTCTGTAGCTGATAGAGAGCTTCGAGAATGAGTAACCAACTCTAGCAAAGAAATTCCTACCCACCCACCCACCTCTGCCCCATGCTACTTGAAACCAGGGAAATCCACAGATCAGAAATGAATTTTGCACATTTAAGAATACAGACAATACAATACTCCTTGCATTTTTGGTATAAGAAGTGGGTATTGAATCACAGTAATGTCTCTTATTTATTTATTTATTTATTTATTTATTTATTTATTTAGGAGAGAAGGTCTCACTCTGTCACCCAGGCTGGAGTACAGTGGCACAATCAGGCTCACTGTAGCCTCAAACTCCTAGGCTCAAGTGACTTCTAGGCTCAGCCTCATGAGTAAACTAGGACTACAGGTATGCACCACCATGTCTGGCTAATTTCCTCATTAATTTTTGTAGAGACAGAGGTCCCACTATGCTGCCCAGGCTGGTCTCAAACTCTTGGCCTCAAGTTATCCTCCAGCCTTGGCCTCCCAAAAAGCTGAGATTACAGGCATGAGACACTGTGCCTGGCCACATCTCACTTTTAAAACTATGCGGATTACTTTATAATTTCCCAGAAAGCCAGAGCATGCTTACACCTGCACCCAAGCATACCAGGTCATTGATAGCCCTTAATTAGGAGTAGGCTACCTGTTAAACTAAATTGAAATTCATTGATATGATCCAGTTATTGAAAGACAGGATGCTTTTTGTCAAAAAAGGCTCTCCAAAATACCCTATTGATGAGAACATTAATTGAAGAACACCTTTCCAGACTCAGGGCCAAGAGGCCAAGTCACTCTACCTGACTACACAGGGGCTGCATGAAGTTGTTCTGTATACGGTGCAACAAGAGGGTTCTGGGGCCTGGGGCATGCAGCACAATTTCTAAACAGTGGAGGATAAAGGAAGGGCCACCAGAAGCCATGAAAACCCAAGTTGCAAAGACAAGCTTGGGCTTACTCATTAAAGATGTGTTCTTTGGCCTCTCAGAGGATCTACTTGAAAGTCACCTCCATTTGAAATCCTTGGCTCAGGATCTTCTTACTGCTTTATTACCCAAGTCTACTAAAATCCTTAGAATAACTGATGATGAAAATCTCACCAATTTTTTTTCTTTTCCTGGGGTTAGGAGGGGGGAAAAAAACAATACGTAAGTCTATTTGAAATCATTTTATGAATTTTAATCATAGCAAATGTGTTTTTACAGTAGTCATAAAATCAACATTACCACATATACAAAGGACAAGACACCAGTTTGGCATACAAAAATACCATATATTAAAATTGGGCTCATTGGAAAACTCAGGACTGGCTAAGACACCATCTATAACAGAAAGAGCAAGCAAGAATGCTTTTAAGACATTCAGATTTATAAACAGCAGCTTGATATCCCCTTTACGAAGTCAATATTTGGCAACATTTGGACAGTAGCAAGTATTGCGTACGAGGGCGCCAAGCAGTGCATGATGCGGGCATATTTGCGCAGTGTAGAAAAAAAGGAGCTCGTAAGAATAAATGGATTCGGATCGGAGTATTGTAAATGAAACATAAGGATTTGGTTTAATAGCTCGGGCAGCAGAAGAGCGATCTAGGACTGGAATAGTCGTTGTATCGAAGAGGGCAGCGACCCTGCGAAGGCGTAGGTGGAGGGAGCGACCCGGCGGCAGGGGCTACGATGGCTTGTGTGGGCGAGGTGTAACAGTCCAAGGCGCACAGCTTCACCTGATGACTGTGAGGAGCAAACAGCAAGACAAAGGGGGACAGTGCAGAAAAACTAACTGAGAGCCG